GGCTAAGTTTGGATGGCTTGCCCTAAGAAATAGAAAAACTATAGTAGCTCAAAAAGAGGAGAATTAGAATTTAGTTTTATTAATTTTAATTATTATGGTTTTTATGGAGTTTCTTCCTTTTAAAATCCTGCTTCTATTTTAATGTCATATGTATCATTTATGTTGCGAGATATGCCATCGGTGTATTATATGCTGGTCAATGACCATGAATAAAACTTACTTACTTACTTACTGTGACTGGGGGAGATGCTGAGGCTTCACTTTGGAGGCTGGCAATGCTACCTGCAGTTTAGTCACAATTGTTTGAGGAGGGATAGCCTGAGTAGCAGTCCCTTGCTTATTACCAGGATCTACCTCAGGCACTTGTGCTGGTGGTGCTCCAATGACAGCGTCAATGAAGAGGGCCTTATGAGGTTTCTTCATTAGCCCACACCAGCCAGAGGATGGGGGTGGTGGAAGGCTGCTCTGAGTAGGCCTCCATAAAAGTGGAGAAAAAGACACAAACCTCCCTTTCTCCTCTATCTACTACTCTTCTGCTCAGCCTTTTCCCCAGGGCTCTGCTGCATAACCCTTCTATTGTGTATTGGGTCCCCCTGGACTACTTCACCAAATTAAGTTAGCTACTACACTTGTTTACACTGCACTCTGAGTCAGAGCACTAAATGGCCTGCTCTTTCACCTGATTCACTATCCTGCTGGCCTTGATTCTTTCTGTCTACCTTTTCTCCTGAACACTCATCTGTAATCACCCTTTTCCCAAGCACGGAGAACTTAACTTTATTGGGGGGGGGGGGCTACACATTGGTTTGCTTCAGTGGCATTCTTTTTAGAAAGTTTCCGTTGCCAGCTTCAATGTGGCTTTCATTGCCCAGAAGTTGCCTGAATCATTCAGTGAAGCCAAATGTATCAATTTCACCACATTGGTGTTAGTGTTTGATTATCTTTTCTTCAACCTACCTGAGTACCAGGGGAAATATATGGTATTTGTGGAGATCTTCTCCATCTTAGCCTCCAGTGCTAGGCTGTTGGTTTATTCTTTCCCCCAAGTACTGCATAATTTTGCTGAGGCCTGAATTCAATGTCAGGAAACAGTTAGTTAAGCAAAAATACAGACACTTGTAATCCTCTTACTTTTAAACTTGTTAACTTAAAATTTGTTTTTATTCAGTTTGTATATTTATGATTTCAAAAACTTAACTAAAATACACTTGGACTTGGTATGATTCAACTATGGTGAATCAGGAACTATTTTGTTGATTTTTAACCTGCGTACCTTGGCTATGATCAGCATTATCAAAGAGCTTTGTCTGATGTACCCTCTGGCATCAGACTAAAAAAAGAAGGAGGTTCTTCCTCTCTTTCTCTGTGAGCAACCAATGAGACCTATCAGAATGCTCGAGGGCTGGCAGCTGGAGCTGTTAGTCAAGTTAGAAGTTAGTTGGAATAAGATGTTGAGTGGAGTAGGAGTGAGAGAAAGAAGTGGCTGGGCAAGGAGCTAGAAGCTTAAGCCAGCGAGGGGTAGAACAGCAGCCTAATGTGTACCAAAGAATTCTGAATGGCTGAATGGAGCTATCATTCAGCTATGGAAAAACTTTGTAGTCATCTCATCTACCTGAATCACTCCAATACTGTAATTAAACAATAAATAAAAGTTAATTCCTTGTTTGTTTAAGCCTGTGGATTGGATGTGTCTGGGCTCAGGGAAAGAAATATGCACACATATAAGATCTCTGCAGATATCGATATTGTTATGAATTAATGGTGGCAGCATGTGACTGAAGTAGCAGTTGTGTCCCAACTGCAACAGCTCTGTGAAATTTCTGAGTGAGGGGTGATTGATAAAGGGAACTGGGATACCTTGTCTGGTGGTGAATAGGAGAAGAAACCCTGTGTGAGAAAGGGTCTGCGCTGGTGTGAGAAAGGGTCAGGGCTCTCTATTCATTTAAGAGACAAAGTGGGTGTTGACCTGTAATTGCCTGACCTATCTGGAACTCTGGACCTGTTTGACAGGTGTTATGTTGAGTGATAATGTCTGTGAGTAAGGGGTCACAACAAATGATGGCAGCTTGTGGTGGAAAGCCCCCCCAAACCTCTTAGGAGAAGATGGGAGCCATGAGGGATTTTTACTGAGAATGGAAGCCTTGTACTTTCCCACATTTTAGTTATTGTAATGTGCATACCTGCAAAGTCTCTAGCCGAGTTCAGACTGGCAATGTGAAGTGCTAGGGAGTCATGGCAAAGAAGATCCGGAACAGACCCAAAACGGCTTGGTTGCAGTATTCCTGTTCACACTGCAGTGAATGAAGCGGGAGGATACCATGGAGGAAGTGCAAGGGAGTGTTCATACTGTTGGGCCACCCCTGGTGGGCTGTTAGCGGCTGTTTCTGTGCTTTGTTGCATGTGCCTATGTGTGTGGGCACATGGGTGTCTGCCGTGGAAACAGCCAGCACCTATTATCAATGACTGTGGGTTGTTCCTGCCTTAGCAGCGCTTGCATTCACACTCAGGGAACCGGAATCAACCCGCTGTACACACGGTTTGCTACCACTTTCACCTGGTACTTTTTAAACTCGGGAGGGAAGCAGCAAAAGATGGCTTGAGTACAGCTGGGGGGTGCCTGAAAGATGTGCCTGTGTGAACCCACCCCTTTAATCCGCTACTGAAACGCTCCTGAAACCTTTGGCTGCCGGGCCAAACTGCCAGTCTGAATGCGGCCTACATATAGGAACACCCATCTTGTTTATGATTAGCCTGACTCTTTCGCTTTCATGACCTTTAGTGAGCAGTCAAATTATTCTTGTAAGGAAGGGTTGTCCTGCCTTTCTAGATGGAACTCTATGGTGGGTGTCCATCTTCTATCGAAAGCTACTTTTCTGCTAGTCTTCAATATGACGTTCGTATACCTCACTGAAAGATGTATGTAGCCCCCAAAGGTGTTTCTGTTCCCTAGGATGAAGTCAACAAATAGTTCTAAAAATTATTCTAGGACTGTTAGGAGAGGGCCTGTTATGCAAACTATGAAAAGTTCACAAATGGACCTCATTAATATCTTTCCAAATGTTGGTCTTAAACATGCCACTGGATTCAAAAATTGTTTTCCAAATTTCTTCAATGATGAGCTGAACTTGACCAGAAAGTTCAAGCAAAAGATTAAGTGAAAAGAAAAAGCTGTATCAGTACAGTATATAGTAAGAAATGTACCCATTGCTCTAAGGCAACCATATAAGAAAGAAAAGTAGCTGTAGGTAGCTACACTGGTCCAAATTAAAACCTCCAAACAAAAGTCACGCAATAACTTTTATTAGCTCCAGCCACAATGATAGAAAGCAGTCTACAAGCTTTTGATTTTTTTCATAAGTTGGATGTTACAGAAAAGGGGAGGGGGAGATAAAGCAGATGTCTCATTTTGTGATCTCAAGAACTTGTACCTTCACACCAGCTATATAAGGCACCAAACCACTTCTTTGTATCACCCGAGTAAAAACCAAGACCGCTAACTTTACAGGAGACACTGTTGCTTACAGGACTACGGCCCCTGCCACACGCAGGGGAAAAGGCGCGGCTTTTAAAAGCTGCGCCAACGTTGATACGGCTCGGCGGGATCCCACGGATCCCCCGGCCGAGCCGCCTTTTCTCCCCGGCGCGATCAAACGCCGGAGAGAAAAGACGGCTCTAACCGGGAGCCGGCCGATCTGCGCATGTCGGAGCATGCGCAGTTCGGCTCCGGCCCGGGGTTGAGCCGGCGCAAGGGAGCGCCGGCGATCAGACGCCCGGAAAGAAGCGCCGCGTCCACTCGAACCACCGAGGTAGGTGGTTCATTTTGCGGCGGTTCTTCCCGGGTTTGGGCCAGTTTGGAGGCGGAAGCAGAACGCTTCCCAGATGTGGTGGTGTGATCACGCTGCTTTGATCCGCCTCCAAACTGGCCCAAATTGCCGCATGTGAACGGGACCTATTACTCACTTTATGACAAGTATATCACTCTTTGAACTGTTGAGAAGATGAAGGCCAGTGAAGAATTAAAACCAAACTCCAGTGGCACCTTTATGACCTTTGTGAGTCACACCTCACTCCCTCAAAAATGGGAAGGGCAATCAAACTGTATTTAAAGGAAAGATTACACGTTGGGGGGAGAGAAGAGATAGGAGGTGAGTGTGAATTCCATTCTCTTTCAAGTGTAAATTCTATGTGTAAATGATTTGAATGGGATAAGCATTTACAAAGAGATACATAGAGTAAAGGGATGAAGTGATGAAGTCAACTCACAATGCTGGGTCTAACTTTAGTTTACTTAAACAAGTTCAGCACACTGGGGAATCTGTGGCATGTTTCTGGGCAGACTAGATCACAATACAAAAGAAAATACAAAAGAAAAGAAAAGAGGAGTGGATGTTGAGGAGGATAGAGATTATAGAGAAAGTAGATAGGGGCTATGGAGAAGAAAAGAATGAAACAGTTCGTTCTAAATCCTGCCTTTTAATTTTCACTGCCATACATCAAGATACAAATCAGGTTCATTTTTTCAAAATACAGAAACATTTGTTCATATCCTATACTCCAACAAGCCAGCCCATGAACAAAAATATTACTTTTCTCTCTGACTTCAGGCCATGGTCTTCTATTTGTGATGGCCTTTTTTAATTGCTTCCTTGCCAGGAGAAGAAAACATGTTTTTCTTAGTTCAATGGGGAATCCTCAGTTTTGCAATCATCATTACCTTCCTTTCAATTACCAGAAAGACTATCATCAGCTTGGCAAAGTCTCCATGGAATTCCAGAGTCCACAAGTAAAATTAATAACACCAGCCATTAAAATTGATATAAATCTGCCCCATAGCTTTTTGAATGGGGACTAGGCACTAGAAACAGATCAGGGACTGCATGATTTCGGTACCAGCGTGAATGTTCATTCATCTGAGGGTGCTGTAATCACAGATACTCTGAGGACTGTGCTGTTGGAAGTAAAAGTAGAATGTGTTTCTAGAAAGGACATTTGAGCTCAGGATGGTGGCCATTGTGTTGTTGAAGCTGTTCCTCCTTTCTCACAAGGTAACCAAGGCTCATGTTCAGTGCAGGATCACAGAGCCACACCCTCCACTTCAACAGTATCATCAGTCAGGAGACCTCTTTGTTGGTGGTGTTGCTTCCCTGAGCTTCAATATTAATGAAATAGAATTTGAAAACTATTTCCAACAGGCATCGTTTGAAGACCTTGTGTAAGCAGTTATTTTTAAAGTTGATTTCCCATTTCTTTATGGCCACCAGGGTAATCCATCCTAGGAGTGATTGTCTAGTATTTTTTGCATAATGTGGCCATACTTGTTGGCCCCATATTTCACCACTGTCAGCCAGACTGTAGAGAAACTTAAAAGATCACTAGTTCCCTCTGTACTGCTTCCTGCTACCCCATGAAAACATATATTGAGTCAGACTATTGGTCCACCTATCTTCTCTATCTGGTACTGTTGTCTCTGTCAGAAAAAGGACTTTCCTATGACTAGTTTCACCACTGTTAGCCAGACTGTAGAGAAACTTAAAAGATCACTAGTTCCCTCTGTACTGCTTCCTGCTACCCCATGAAAACATATATTGAGTCAGACTATTGGTCCACCTATCTTCTCTATCTGGTACTGTTGTCTCTGTCAGAAAAAGGGCTTTCCTATGACTAGTTACCTTTAATCTTTTAATTGGCCATGATAGGGACATGCAAAATATGTATGCTTTACAACTTACCCATACCCATTCCCATTGGCTTGAAGCAACCTGCTAAATAACAATGAAAGGGTCAATGAATAGTCTGTTGAAAATGGGCTCCCTGTTTTGCAGATGGGGAATACAACATGAGCCACACTGAGGGTGTTCAAGCATCCTTCTTCAGCATATAAAATTTTAATGTCATATTTAGAAATGATAAAATTAATGTGTTAGTTCAAAAGAACCATAACTAGGAACTCAAGGTAAAAATCTTCCCCAGCCACCAAACAATGACCTTCCCAGGAAACCAGGCCAGGGTCAGTGGTACTGAATACTGTCTGAGTGTACTCATAAAGTACCAAACCACATCAACCAGGGTAGTAACTGATACTGTTTCATATTTTTTTTAAAAAAAAGTTACATAGAAATTAAACAGAAATGGAAGTAAATAAATATAGTTGGTGTAATCAAAGTGAGTGGAATATCAAGTGTCAGATAAACACTCATACTGTAGATTGTTCTACACTTTCTTAGAAGATGAATGACAAGAATGTAGTTATATAGATACTTTAATCTATAATTTTAAAAGGATTCATACGTCCAACTCTCTGGCTGTCTGTCTGTCCATCCGTGCAAGGCATAACTCCTCAGATAATATGTCTAGGAGCCTCTAAATTGACTGCTGGCTTCAGGATGATTGTAGCAGTTGCAATGCTAAAAAAGAAATGAATCAGAATATCCTGGCCCATGTTACCTCCAAACCCCCCTGTGCCACTTGCAACGGAAGCTAAGGTTGTCTGTATGTGGCAGGCACCACTCATCAGAAAATAAATCTGGATAATTCAAAGTTAGCCACCCACTTCAGAATGATTGTGGGTGTCGTAGTGCCAAAACCGAAATTAACTGGACCATTCTGGCCCGTCTGCAGCGCTGACTGACTAGGATCTAAAAGACCCAAGTTCCAATCTCCAGTCTGCTACAGAAGCTTTCTAGTTGACCTCCAGTCAAATATACTTTCTCAGCCTCAAGTTCCTCACAGGTTTTGTAGTGAGGAGACAATGGAATACATGAGAATGATGCCAGCTGCTTTGGGTACCCACCGGGGGAGAAAGGCAGGGTACAGCGGGTGTTCTTCCTAGTAATAAATAAATAAGAGATCAAAGTTCAAATCCCCAGTCTGCCACAAAAGCTATAATAATAATAATAATAATAATAATAATAATAATAATAATAATAATAATAATAATAATAATAATAATAATAATAATAATAATAATGGATTTATACTTTGCCATTCATTCGGAGACTTAGAGCATCTTACAAACTTCTTTCTCTTCCCCTCCCCACAATAGATATTCTCTGAGATAGGTGGGGCTGAGAGAGCTCTTAGAGAACAGCTCTGACAGACCTATGACTTGCCCGTGGTCATTCAGCAGGTGCAAGTGGAGGAGTGGGGAATCAAACCCAGTTCTCCCAGATTACAGTCCGTGAACTTAACTACTACACCAAACTGGCTTGCTGGCTGACCTCCAGCCAGATACAATTCCACAGCCAAAAGTTCCTCACAGGGTTGTTGTAGTGAAGAGACAATGACATACAGGAGAATGATGTGAGTGCTTCTGGGAACCCACTGGGAGAGAAAGACAGGGTAGGTCATAAATCTAACCTTGGCTACAATTTGCAGAAAAGGATGATCATTCTAGCTGTTGCTTCATCCTTTATTGCTGCAATTCTTCCTATAGGAGGCAGGACTGTTTATTTAGTATTGAAATTATTGTTCATTATAATGAGTGCAGTGAGTAACAGGGCTGGCGAGCAGGTATTCCTCTAATAAATAATAAAAAAACAAAGGAGATGCAGAATAGGGTGTGTTGAATTTCAAATGTGTGTAGCGTCCTTCTGATATACCATGCAACTCTCCTTCCAGAGTCGTTCCTAAGAATTACCAGCACATCCTGGCATTGGCCTTTGCAGTAAAGGAGATCAATGAAAACCCTCGGATCTTACCCAATGTCTCCTTGGGTTTCCACATCTATGACAGCTATTTCAATGCAAGATGGACCTACGATGTCACAATGCGACTTATATCGTCACAAAACCGATTTGTCCCCAACTATAGATGTGGCATCCAAAATAATCTGGTAGCCATCCTTGGAGGGCTGGACAGTGACATCTCACTTCATGTTGCAACTATCCTGGGCACCTACAAGATTCCACAGGTAAGACGTGCTTGTCTGGAGTATGGGAATTTAACATCTCATTGACAAATTGTTTCCTTCTCCCAGAACTGATTGTGGAGTTCAAAAAAATAAAAAATCAGATAGGCATTACTTTTTGTATGAAAAATACACACCCTGTCTTATTGTTGCATTTGTAACTGAGAATTGAAGAATGGTAGGGTATCCAGATGTAATTCATGATAAGGATATGTAAAGCAAGAATAGCTCTATATTAGGGGAACTTCAGATAAACATTCATCACCATATTGTAACTGTATCCAAAGGTTCAGGAATCTCCCAGCACAGAGCTGGCCACCCTAGATTTCACTGAAGCAAAAACAAAGACCTATCAATCTCAGTAACGTATTTAGGAAATTATAAGGTCTTGGGGGTGAACTTCCCAGATAGCTTACTGCTGTAGTTCTGGAAATACCTGGGTACACTCTGAAGGGCACATATATCTATGAAGACCTTTGGCAATCTTCCTTTACACCCATTGTGTTTTGGATGGTAATAAAGGATCCATAAGACACACAATGAAACCTCTAAAAGTATTTTTGCTGTATGAAAAGAGTAACCTTGTATGAAAGAGTAACCAAAATTTTATATGGAAAAGGGAATGCTGGTTGACAGTGTATTTCAAGAATGTTTCCTGCAACTATAGGTTTTGTGTAAATATTACCTGAAAACATAAAGCTGGATGGAACACTAGCTGATAAGAAATATGTGGCACTACACACATTTCTATGAACACACACACACAGTCTTGTCTCTGACATCTTGAGTCTGGAGTAAAGGTTGAATCATAAACATTTTGAGAGATGTCATGATGGAGGACAATTCTCTACAGGTGTGAAAAGTGCTCTACAATAACTGTTCCACCACTCCTAGGTAGGCTGTCCTTCCTGTACCTACCCAGTGACCCAAACTTAAAAACCACAATAGCTTCTACCCTTTGAACTACCGATACATAGAAAAACATTGCTAGGTTCTTAGAGTATCCAGCAGATTTTTGGATAACTATTTATTTATTATTTCAATTTATATCCCACCCTTACTGCAAGCATGCTCAGGGCGGCTCACAGCAATAAACATAATACAGTCTTAAAGTAATTCAATCAAATAATAAATAACAATATTGAATCAGTACAATAAAACATTTGAAGTTTAAAGCATTTAAAACTCTCCTTTATAAAGACCAAAAGAAACCCAGTATTAAGAGACAAACAAGCAAACACATGCAACCAAAGCATGCTGCAGGTAGGCAGAATGGGAGGCATTGTCTGATATTACAATATGTAAACCTTATTTATGATAAAAGGCAAATAAATTACATGGCATCTAAAAAGGTAGACAGCAGAAAATCTGCTTGAGTCCTGCCCATTAGGTGGACCTAGGCAAGTTACTATTCTCTCAGTCTCAGCCCTTTATGTGTGGCACAGGAATGCTACCTGAAAGAATGTTTGTAATGAGTGCAGATATGTGTGCAGAGTGCTTGGAGAATTGGAAAGAAATAAAGAAATGTTCTTCTGTCTTCCCACCTGGTATCTATCTTTAGCTCACCTACGGCTCTGCTCCAGTGATAAAGGACATCTCTCCAGGCTATTCCATTTACCAGATAGCCCCGAATGAAGCTCTTCAATATGTTGGGATCAGGGCTTTGCTGCTGCATTTCAAGTGGACTTGGGTTGGGATCATTGTTATGGATGACGACAATGGAGAAAGGGTTGTGCAAACTTTGTCTTCAATGTTTTCCCCGCACGGTATTTGTATTGCCCTGGTAGAAAGAAGTCCCAGGTCAAATTTTGTTGCTGGGATTTCAGACATGATGTACCAGGGAGAAAAAATGTATGATAAAATTATGGAGAGCAAAGCCAAAGTATTTGTGGTGTTTGGACAATCTTATACTGTCAATGATTTGATATGGTTGCGACGACTGTCCGAGGGACACCAGGACACCAAAGGTAATGTGGGAATTCTGTCAGCCCAGATGGAACTTGTTTCAATGCTCTATCAAATGCCTGGGGATGCAGACATACTCCATGGTTTTCTGTCCTTCACGGCTCACTCTAACCATCTTCCAAAGTTTCAGAAGTTTATTGAGAACAGAAACCCTTCCAACACGAAAGGAGATGGTTTTATCCGGGACTTCTGGCACCATGCTTTCCGCTGCCCATTCCAGGTTCATAGTGTCTGCACAGAAAAGCTGGAAAGCCTCCCCGGGTCTGTTTTTGAAATGAGCATGACTAGCCACAGCTACAGCATCTACACTGCTGTCTATGTCATGGCCCATGCTATACATGCCATGCATTCATTGCACAGCAAGCACAAAACAGTGATGAACAGAAGAGGGCTGGAGCCATGGCAGGTAAGGCTTGAAGAAGCAAAGATGGGAAAGCATTTCAGCAGGTGTCACAAGAGGCCACAATCTGTGTAGTAAACAGTCTGGTCACATTCTTCCTGGGCTCCCATTCTCATCTTCCCTTATCTTCCCTTCGTTCATATTTCAGTGAGCAGTCACTGTTTTTCTCTGAGGCCTCTGAACTTGAAGTGTTCACATTTTGTAATACTGTACTTTTAATTCATACACAGTACAGTCCTAAGAAGAGTTTTACCCTTCTATGTCATTGAGTTTAATAGATCTAGGAGGGTGCAATTCTGCTTAGGACTACACTAATAATGTCCTCTCCTGTTTATAGAAACTAGTCTTATTCTTTCTACAGCTGTTAAAGCTATCCAGATTATGGTATCACATGGAAGCATCACTTATTTTACCAGCAAATATCCTCAAGATTAACTGGTTCTGAGAGGCTGCCGTCCAAAGCGGAGTTCAACTCTTCTAAGCCCATTGGCTTCCATACATTAAGGCTCCATCTACATAGTAAAAAGCCCTTGTGTTTGTTAGTGAAGTATGTGGGACTTTGCAGATCATGCACAATAGCAGGTTTGTGGTCCCAAATGCTCACTGGCTCTTTTCTGTTTGCGACCATCACACACAGGGAGAAGTGGCTTCAGCTTCCCCCTGAAGTGTTTTTTTGTCTTCTTCATCTTCCCCATGGAGCTGCTGTTGGCTCCATTCTAAAATTTGTGTGCAGTCATAAATGTAGCATGATGTTTACAGTGTCACATGTGTAATGCACCATCTTCATATTGTTCCCCAAAATGAAGCTCAATGGAAACTTTTTTGGTAGTGGCAAAAATGTTACAGGCTGGATTATTCTTCACTCACTTATCTGAGGTGAATATGTGAGGTGAATCACAATCTCAAAGAATCTGAAAAATATTACCAATGAACAAAAGGACTCTAATCTGAACCCAAGAAAAAATCCTGCACATAGCACCAGTAGCTAGGGATGCTGCAATTTTCACCTTGAAGGAGTTTACCAGCAAATTCAATGAGATGAGTCTAGCGAGTTAGTCCTGAGATTAGTATGTTGGAATAGCAAACACCCTGAATGTCTTCTGAACTTGTTTGTGGCTGGGTTGGGGAGGATGGTGGGAAAATAGTGGCTCTTTTCGGCATAGCACAAGGTGGCAGCAATACACTTTGAAGCTTCAAGTCATAGGCTTGCCTGTAACACCAGCGGGTAACACCAGCGGGGCTTTTGCCATCTAAAATGTAGTGCAGTCCACACCAAGGCAGGGGGAAAGTTAATAAGTACACAAGTCAACTGTAATCAAATAAAACTGAACTTAACCCAATGTTTGGGCCTCTTCTTCATTTCAGGAGCAGGCTACAAAGGATCCAACCCACTGGGGCTCCCTTCCTGCCTTTTCCTTCCCCCTCCTTTTTCCTATTTGTTTATTTATTTACTAGGAATAAGGCCCATTGTGGAAATAAATACAACGAGATCTAGAAAGAGGCTTTGGGAGAGTGCCTCAGCCTTGGGCACTCAGCGTCAATTTGTTGTGGCGACCTCAGCAGGGTACAATGACACAGACTCCACCATTGTCTCCAGAAGAACTGATCTCTGCTACCTGAAGAGGAGTTTTAATTTTGAGTGATCTCCACCCCTAACCTGTAGAATGGCAACAATGGTTCCCCAGGAGGAAATGGCGGGTTTGGAGGGTGGAGTCTATGGCATTGTACCTGTCTGAGGTCCCACCCCTCCTCAAACCCTACCGTCTCCAGGCTCCACCCCTCAAGTCTCCAGGAATTTTCCAACCTGAAGTCCCAGCCAAACATCAACTTGCCATTATGTGCCCCTCACTCTTTAGCTTTCTGTCTCCCCCCACACACACCTGCAGCCTCTATCATGCTCTGAAGCCATGACTGCTATGTCACATTAGCTGTCATAGGAGAGCCATCTCAGCAGGGTATAAGGACACAAAGTCCACCATTTTTTCCAGGGGAACTAATCTCTGCCATCTGGAGAGCAGTTGTAATTATGAGTGATCTCCAGCCCTCACTTGGAGATTGGCAAAAATGGTTCCCCAAGAGGAAAAGTACAGTTCTTCTCTTCTATGGGGACTAAAGCAGCTTACAGCATTCTCGTCTCCCCCTTTTGACTTGCAAAACAACCCTGTGAGGTAGCTTAGGCTGAAAGTCTGTGACAGGTCCAAAATCACCCATTTAGCTTCCACAGAAAGAACCTGGGTCTTGCAGACCATGCTCTGAAGCGCTGACTGCTACGCCTAGGGTAGTCAACCTCCAGGTGGAGCCTGAAGATCACCAGGTGTCATAGACTCTACCATAGAATTTCCAGGAATCTCCCTACCTGGAGCTGGCAACCCTAATCAGGATTGGCCCCAATGAGTTTTCTCCCAAAGGTCAAAGACAGAACCAAGCTTGGTTGCCTAGCAACAGGCACTGAGGGGAAAGTAGGGTTGCCAGTTCTGAGTAGGAAAATATCTGGAGAGTTGGAGGGTGGATCCTGTGGAGGGCAGCATTTGGGGAGGGGAAGGACTCAGCAGGGTATACTGGCATAGAGGAACTGATTTCTTCCAGGCAGACCCTGCTCTGAAGCACTAACTGCTACACCTATAGTAGCTAACCTCCAGGTGGAGCCTGAAAATGAAGAAGAGAAGAGATTGGATTTATACTCCACCCTTCACTACCCAAAGGTGTCTCAGAGCGGCTTACAAACTCCTTTCCATTCCCCTCCCCACAACAGACACCCTGTGAGGTAGGTGGGGCTGAGAGAGCTCTTGACAGAAACTGCTCTTTTTCAAGGACAGCTCTTTATCAGAACTACGACTTGCCCAAGGTCATCCAGCCAGGTGCAAGTGGAGGAGTGGGAAATCAAACCTGGTTCTCCCAGATTAGAGTTCATGCACTTAACCACTACACCAAACTGGCACTATCACAACTGAACATCAAACAACAGATCGCCCCCCCCCTGAGAAAATAACTGCTTTGGATGGTGGGCTCTATGACATTCTGTTCAGCTGAGGCCTCTCCCCTCCCCAAACTCTGGTTTCCTTAGACACAGTATATCCAGGAATTTCCCAACCTGGAGTTGGCAACCATAGTCAAGACAGGCCCCAACGAGTTTCTCACAAAGGTCTGGAAATAGTTTCCTATCAGCAGCCACTGAGGGAAAAGTGAGTCTCACAGAAGAGCCAAGTAGGAGGAGTGTCTTCATTGGGAGAGACAGCCATATACCAGTAATTCTGACAGGGAACAGTGGCTGAGGTGGGAGTGGAAGGGGAAGAGGAGGAGACCCAGCACCCGGTCAATGGCATGCGAGTACTCTCAAGTGGTGGCTGATGGGCCAATGGCTGATGGAGCGCATTGCACAGCCAATGGGAGAGCTAGAAAATGCCACTTTACTACTCAATTATATAGATTGAGAGATTTATTTATTTATTTAATAGCCTGCCCTACCCCCCCAAATGGGCTCAGGGCAGCTTCTAACACCATGACTTTTCCTTCTAGCTCCATGACTTCCTCAGAGGGGTTGCATTTAACAACAGTGCTGGGAACAAAATTTCATTGAATGAGAATGGGGAGTTGGTAGCCGGATATGACATTGTGAATTGGGTTTTCTCCTCAAACCAATCCTTTCACAGAGTGAAGGTTGGGACGATAGATGCTCAGGCTGCTCCAGAACAAGCCTTCATCATCAAGGATGAAGCTATAACATGGCCAAGCTGGTTTAACCAGGTAAGGATCCGCTGAAGTTTGAGACATCTTTAAACTGTAGATGAGCATTGAGTCTCAGACCTGGGGGCAAAAGGCTTTCACTGGACACTAGTATGCTTTCAATGAACTGGTTTTGCTACTGATGTGCTTCTTCCTCAAGGCTGATATAACAGAATAAGTTAAAAATCCAATTAGTTTTTGCAAAGGGGTCTGAACCAGGGAAGCACTGAAATGGAGCACTATAGAAATTATTACTCTGGTGGGAACAGGCCACAGGGAAGAATGTTTACCTCAGCACTGACAGATAATGGCTGAGGGTAACTCCCGCCCATAACAAAAACGTTGTGGATGTTTTCCTTCAAAGTTGTTGCCTCAGTGGAGAATGCTTACCTCACCACAGTCAGATATGTGCTGAGGGAAAACAAACAAACAAATAAACCCAAATAACAAAAAGGTTGTATAATGGAATGTTTTTCTTCATGTCATTGCTGGATTTCTAACATCTAGGCTTCAAAACATAGCTCTCATTGTTTGAAATATAAAATAAGAAAAATGCCTTTATAAATTAATGAAACTGGTGTAAGTAACTGAGTACGGAAAAGGAGGATCAGCTCCAAAGAAACATTTTGGCCATGTGAAGCTATGCCTCTGGGCTTGGGATGTTGTGACACACACTGTCTTCTGTCTCCACAAACAGAGGTTTTTTCCCCCAGTGGGGGTGGTGACATTCTAATACTACAAATAACAAAAAAGCTTTGCTGTGGATAGTGAATGCACTTTAAACATAACTCAAAATGTGTGTTTTTTCCCCACATTCTGTAAGACAATTTCAGATAATCATTCCGAATATAATCTTTCTCGTCTGTCATTTTCCTGATTAGGCACAGCCAATTTCTGTGTGTACTGACAGCTGCCATCAAGGATACAGCAAGAAAGTGAAGGAGGGAGAGCATTTTTGCTGCTATGACTGCATCCCATGTCCAAAAGGAAAGATTTCAGACCAGGAGGGTAAGAAACGTACTCAGTGATCAGTCCATTTGGCTGCAGTCCATAGGAATGTGCTTTTAAAACCATAAGCATATGATGATTACGTAGATTCTCATTTTGAACATTGATTGAAATGATGGGGAGTTATATGTGAGAAGAAGCAGCTGATCATCAGGATATACTCTGATGTTTATGTGTATGAATGGATTCCCTGTCCTGAAGGAATAATGATGGAAAGTTGTGGTGTCCTTATCTCTCTGTGTTGGAGCTGAGTTGTTCACTGCAATTCCAATATTTGAATTGTGCCTTGAAATTGACACTTAACCACTACTGTGAAGTTAAATGAGTCTTCATTGAAGGCTGCTTAGAGTCTCCAGATAAAACTGATGAAAAGCATGTGTGCTTTAATCAGGGGTCGTTTCGTAGAAAAAGAGCTAGGGGAACTCATTAGCATAACTCATTAGCATATGCCACACACCCTGACATCACCGGAAGTGTGTCATAAGGCCACACCCCCTGGGGGGTGGTGACATTCTAATACTACAAATAACAAAAAAGCTTTGCTGTGGATAGTGAATGCACTTTAAACATAACTCAAAATGTGTGTTTTTTCCCCACATTCTGTAAGACAATTTCAGATAATCATTCCGAATATAATCTTTCTCGTCTGTCATTTTCCTGATTAGGCACAGCCAATTTCTGTGTGTACTGACAGCTGCCATCAAGGATACAGCAAGAAAGTGAAGGAGGGAGAGCATTTTTGCTGCTATGACTGCATCCCATGTCCAAAAGGAAAGATTTCGGACCAGGAGGGTAAGAAACATACACAGTGATCAGTCCATTTGGCTGCAGACTATAGGAATGTGCTTTTAATTAAAACCATAAGCATATGATGATTACATAGATTCTCATTTTGAACATTGATTCAAAGGGTGGGGAGTTAGGGGCAGAGAGGAAGCAGCTAATCATCAGGATATAATCTGATGTGTATGTGTAACAGATTCCCTGTCCTGAAGGAATAATGGCGGAAAGTTCTGATGAGAAATAAAGGCATCTTACCCTCCCTCTTCTCCTGCCTCCTCCTGGCTGAATGAGGGCCGGAAGCGGGGTGGCTGGAAGCAGGGGGCGGGGCTTCGTCATGTGCCCCGCCCCCTGTACCTCACCCGGGGGAACTGCGATCCCCCACGATCCCCCCCGAAATTACCTCTGGCTTTAATAACCATGGCTGACAACATTCATTCAAGCAATATTTAGTGATAGCTACAGGCATCATTGTGGCACCTCTAGATCAACAAAGCTCTAATGTTTTTAGAACTTAGTGCTTTGGAGAATGCTGTGTAGCATACAGAATTTCAGTTCTCATCATCACCTCCCTGCCACGTATCAAAAGATTAAATACACCGTGGAGGGCACAAATTGCTCAAGGTCAATTAACACTCAAGCACTCCTTAAAGGCATAATTCTCAAACACAATGAATGAAGGAATCATGCATAGATATTAGAATGTAAGTATTTTAGTATGATCCACATATACTTATTACCTGTTAAAGTGCTGAAACTTTGAAACAAATACACAAGTGCGGGTATACATAAAGAAACCTTACTTAAGCATGACCAGTAAATGGGCGATATACAGTTCTTAAAAACAACTATCTTCTTAACTGCTTCTTAGTTTCCAAACTTTCAGGTCTGCAGGGAGGCTGAGAAAACTGGATGATATCTCTTGTCGGCCAAGAGAGTTTCAATTATTCTTCTTCAGAGCCAATATATTCTTTTGGAACGAATACAAATAACACAACAAGCAGAACATCTTGTATACAGATATTCAAAACACACTTCAAGCCTTGTTACTAACAATCTGAAGCCGACTTACCCACACGGTTTACATATTTTGCATGTCTTATCATACTCCCACATGGGCTCAGTTGCACTCCTTTCCGCAAAGTGGTTCTCACACGCTTAAACTCAGGTTGCATACTTAAAGCTAATCATGCCTGAATTATTTAAAGTTACAGAATGCATTTAAAGTCACAGAGTATATTTAACACGAAATTAAAGGCTACAAATAAGAGAATAAGTCAAGTTCATTATTTAAACCATACGGTGAAAAGTTCTATATTCAAAGATGTACCTTGCTTCTTTTTGTAATAGAAATTTCTGCATATCCTGACAATTGTAGTTCTGTGGTGTATATGTGTAAATAACAAAACAAAAAAACTTCTCTGAGTCATGGTGGGTCATAACAAAATGTTCAGCAAGGGGAGCTGTCATAATGGCATTTCTGATTCAAGAAAGATGTTCCAAAATTCTGACTTTGATCATTTACACGGAGATACCAATGTATTGCATCTTACACTCACATACTAAAAGATACACAGAACGGTGTGTTCTGCAATTAGAATAATGTGGAAGTTGAATCATATATCCTTTCTGTGGATGCCCATATGCCTAAATGTCCAAAGAACATTTACAGGCTGCACAATTTTGAAAACATTTATGATACCCTAATGTCACAGGGGTCACCTTGTTCTTCTGAAAATCTGATCTTGTGATTATTTCTTTAATGTTTCTACCCCTTCTATATCCAATTTTTGGAGTCCCCAAACATCCAGCAATTCCTGACACTAAATGCCAATGTTTATGAATTATGTGACTAATCGGTTTGGCCATTGGTGAAAAATCAAGAGCAAAAGACACACCCATAACCTTTTGAGTACATTTATCCTGGAGCAGTGTCTTCCTGTCAGTATGTGCTGCTCTTCTTTTAGCCTTAGTTACTATGTCACTAGGGTATCCTCATTCTATAAAATGGGTTTCCATAATTTTAGTTTCATTATTATAATCATGAGGGTTGGTGGAATTTCTTTTAATGCACAGGAACTGCCCATATGGTAGATTATTTCTAAAATGAATAGGATGATGCGATTTGAAATACAGGTAAGTATTTCTGTCAGTGGGCTTTTTATAAGGTTTAAATGCCAATTTATTCAGATGATCGCTGTAAATGATTTCTAAGTTCCTCCAATTTCAAATCAAAATCACCTGCTGGCAATGTTCCCTCTAAGCTGTGGAGTCTTGTGAGCAAAAATTCTACTTTGTGAGCTACTGGCATTCAAGCTGTGAGTAAGGAATTTGGCTAGAGGATAAAATAGTTTGCTCTGGAGCCATCCTTCCTGAGCTAAGACAAAAATCTTTGAGCCGGAGGCTAAAATACTGTGAGCTAGCTCATGCCAACTCAGCTTAGAGGGAACACTGCCTGCTGGTAAGGTTTCTTTAACACTTCGGCTGCTTCTTCCTGTGAGTTTTCTATCAGAAGAAGCTTGAGATCAGCTGCACACTTATTTACAATAGCAACCCATTTTTTACGAAAATCATCTGTATCATGAAACATTGCCAGAACCTTTTGAACACATAAACCGCTGGGGATTCAGTAATTCTTAACATAATCAGTTAATGGTACAGCATGAAGCTGCATGCATGTTTTCCTTTTGTATAACATTAACAACTGATTTCAATCAGGATCAGAACCTTCAAGTGATTCCTCCATCATAGAGGGCATGCCATCTATGATTCTATTCTTATCTTCATTTGAAAAAGTAAACTGTTTACACCACTCAGACATGTTCCCAAATGTTGATAACACTAAATACAATGGGACCTCGGAGATACTGAGTAAAATAACAAAAACCCCAACAACACAACAACTAAAGTGTGGAGAATACAAATTGCTCAAGGTGAAATCAACACACAATGAAAGAATTAGAATGTAAATCTTTTTACTGGTCTTGCTTTAGGAAGGTTTCTTTGTACATACCTCCATTTGTGTATTTGTTTCAAAGCCTCAGCAGTTTAACAAGTAATAAGTATATGTGGATCGTACGAAAAGATTTACATTCTAATCTCTATGCATGATTCTTTCATTAAGTGTGTTTGAGACTTATGCCTTTAAGGAGCACTTGAGTGTTAATTGACCTTGAGCAATTTGTGCTCTCCACAGTGCATTTTGTTTTTGTTATTGTACTCTGTATCTCCATGGTCCCGTTGTATTTGTTTCAAAAGATTAGCATGTATGTAGGGGAAAGTTCCAATTTGTTGGTATGTTTTATACCAGATTTTGAATAAAATCTAATTTTTTGATTTTCAGACATGAACGACTGCTATAAATGCACAGAGGAAACATTTCCAAGCAAAAACCAGAATTCCTGTATTCCTAAGTATATCACCTTTTTGTCTTATGAAGAACCCTTGGGACTCAGCTTAGCCTTTTTGGCTCTTTTTCTCTCTTTGATCACAGTTGTGGTGTTGGGCACATTTATAAAGCACCACAACACTCCAATTGTCAAAGCCAACAATCGGAGTCTCTCCTACACTCTTCTCCTCTCCCTTTTGCTCTGCTTCCTTTCTGCTTTGCTATTCATTGGTCAGCCTGAGAGAGTGACCTGCCTCCTACGACAACCTGCCTTTGGCATCATCTTTTCAGTGGCTATTTCTTGTATCCTGGCAAAGACCATCACTGTGGTCCTGGCTTTCATGGCTACCAGACCAGGAAGCAGGATGAGAAGGTGGTTGGGGAAAAGGCTGGCCAACTCCATTGTTGTTTCCTGCTCCTTTGTGCAAGGAGGGATTTGTGCTGTGTGGCTGGCAACCTCTCCTCCATTCCCAGATGTCGACATGCACACAGTCAGGGAAGAGGTGATACTGCAATGTAATGAGGGGTCTGTGACTCTCTTTTACTGTGTATTGGGGTATATGGGTTTCCTGGCTATTGTTAGCTTCACTGTGGCTTTCCTTGCCCGGAAGCTACCTGATACTTTCAATGAAGCCAAGTTTATCACCTTCAGCATGTTGGTGTTTTGTAGTGTGTGGTTATCCTTCTTCCCAACTTACCTCAGCACGAAGGGGAAATCCATGGTAGCTGTGGAGATCTTCTCTATTTTAGCCTCCAGTGGTGGTTTGCTTAGTTTAATTTTTTCTCCTAAATGCTATATAATTTGGCTAAGGCCTGAGTTAAACAATAGGGAAGGATTAGTAAGGGGGAAAAGTTAAAGCACATAACTGTTATTTGCCTTCTCCAATAATGCAAGGATAAGTTTGCTCACATTAAAATATTTCTGAGAGTTTTCTTCTCAACAGCTATCCCATAAAAAAATCTTTGTCGTAGTTGTGGTTTTATGGCTATTGAATTGGAAAGCAGCATTAGGAAGTAGGTGGAGGATAGGACTGGGTAATTCTATCATGCTTTGCTATTGTCTTTTGGCTTGTAATGTATCACCCAATTTCACATATTGACATGTATTTAGTGCCTAAAATTGTATTGGGCTGTAATGAGGGATGGTATCCATCATTACATTTTATGTTGCCTAAGCTCTAAACTAAATGTGTTGTCTGAGATGGCTCAGGTGCAGTCACAGCAAATGCTGCTTTGTAGCTGGACAGATCATACCCCTGTGGCTGGTTCAGGACCCAAAATGCTTTTGAAACATTAGTCCACTTCTTTTTTAAAAAACCCTTCTCTGGACCCTGGATAGAGGAATAATTACAATTCATTTTCATAAAATCATAGAATCACAGAATTGGAAGGGGTCATGCAGGCCATCTAATCTAGTCCCACTCCCTGCTCAAGACAGGATCAGTCTAGAGCATAACTGAAAAGTGTTTGTCCTGCTGCTGCTTAAAAACTGCCAGTGAGGGGGAGCTCACCACCTCCCTAGGCAGCTGGTTTCACTGTTGCACAACTTTTTTTGAGATTAGGTTTCAGGATTTGGTGCTGGGTACTGCTGCTCTCTTCCCTGGCCTCTGGTGAATGCCATTACCTAATGTTCCATCTTGTTGCTCATGCTTTTTAACAACTATGTAAAGTTGCTGGGAGAGGTCATCCAGAGGCTTGGGCTGAGCTTACACCAATATGCAGATTACACTTATCTCACCCTACTAGCAGATCACAGGGAGGCTATGAACAGGGAGGGTGTGAACTGGAGGCATTTTTGAAGTGGATAAGGGCTAAGGAGCTAAATCTTAATCCTGACAAAATGGAGGTGCTTCTGGTCAGAGGAAGTTCTGACCCCGGAAATGTTCTGGATGGGGTTGCCCTCCCCAGTGGAACAGGTTCACAGCTTGAGGTGCTTCTGGAGCCAGGCTTCCTGTTGGATAAACAAATGACAGTGGTGGCGAGAGGTGCCATTCACCAGTTTCAGTTTCTGAGCCAGCTGCAGCCCTTCCTGGACAGAAAAGATCTTGTTACTGTGCTGCATGCCCTGGTAACACCTAGAATAGATTACTGTGGTGCATTGCACATGGGGCTGATATTGAAGACAGTGCAGAAGCTGCAGTTGGTACAGAACACTGTGGCCAGAATGCTGACTGAAGTGGGTCATAGGAACCATAGCACTCCAGTCTTGTTCCATATGTACTGTCTTCCAATTTACGTCTGGGCTGAATTCAAGATGTGGTCTTGACCCTTAAAGCCCTGTAAAGCCTGGGGCCCACAGACCTTAAGAACTGCCTTCTCCCATATGAATCTGCCCACTCACTCCAGTCATCTTCAGAAGCCTTGCTTTGGTTGCCACAGCCATCTCAGGCTTGATGAGAGGCGACCTGAGAAAGAGCTTTCTTGATTGTGGCACCAAAACTTTGGAACTCCCTCTATTTGTGTCTTCCACCAGCAGGTGTAGACTTTTTGGTTCATTTTGCACCCCCCCTCAATTATAGCTATTGGCTCTCCTATGGTATTGCTTGTTATGGTTTTTAATGAATTATGTTATATACGAACGCCACCGACAGGTCCAACAGCACTAGTGCCGCCACACCACCACAATCCAGATGCCTACGGAGATCGTCAGTCAGCGCAACCAGTACTGTCTCAGTCCCGTGGCCCAGGGGAAAACCGGAATGGAAGGGATCGAGGATGGAAGCCTCATCCAGGTAGCTCTGTAGCTGTGATGCCACCGCCCTCTCAATAAGTTTGCCTAAAAAAGGCAAATTGGACACCGGCCGATAGTTGGCAAATTCAGCCGGGTCCAGAGATGGTTTTTTCAAGAGAGGACGGACCATCGCTTCCTTGAGTGCTCCAGGGAACCGCCCCTCGGTGAGGGACTTGCTGCCGCATTACAGAATTGATCTTAGTATGAAATCCCATTAAATCTTCTTTATATCACTGCTGAAGGTAGGACATTCAGTCATGCTAGCATGAATGCCCTTCTATACTTTGGAAGAATGATCTCAGATAAATAGTTTGACATTATTGTTGGAGGCTGAATGCCTACTGAAAAGGTTGAGCACATTCTGCATGTTCTAATCAACATGGGCTGTGGTCACATGGAGCATTAGGCACACTAGAGAGACGAAATATAGGCAGATTTTCCGGTCGCGATCTCACCGCCACATCTGGGAAGTGTAGAGCTCCCGCCGAAGATGCGCAGTTAAAAACTAGTACTTTGGAGGTATTAGTTTCTGGTAACTGCGGGGGAAGGGCGGGTATCTGATTATTGCGGCCCTGCCATCCCATAGGAATTCATAAGCGTCCTGTAGGATGTTTGGACACTTCGTCATGAGCGCAATGCCACCGTCTCTCTAGCCGTCTTCGGCACCCGCCCATGCCCCCTCGTATCAAGGTGTTTTTTTTCAACTGTCCATGGGATGTGCACACTCACCCAACGGGGCATGCGCACACTTTGGTGTCCAGGAAAAAAACCACCTGTTTGCCGCGGTGCAGGATTGTGGTGTGCTCGGCACCTCCCCCCTACCACAGGACCTCCATGGTACATCTGCTGGCAAACAGCCACGCTCCCCCCCACAGTTTCCTGCCCGTGTGCCCGCAGCCATGCTTTCATTGTCAAAGTCTCTCAAACATCTTCTAATGAGCTGTGACAGTTCTTGTCTACTTGTGACTTCTATCACATCCAATAATCTGTCCCAATAACTTGTGTGGTGGTCCAGCTTGACTAGTTTGAGGAGGTTTAGATCTGGTTTTAATCTTAGAGTCCTAATTTTCAAATTGAATATTTTTTCCCAGGCCTTTGATTCATAATGTTTTTTTTAAATTATTATTATTATGTGCACCACCTTGGGGATGCTGATTAGATGGAAAGGTGGCATAAAATGTTTTAAATAAATAAATACATTGGAGTGCAGAAATCTGGCAAATAATGGATACTTCAATTGAATAAGGAAGAATATATTGGGAAGAATGTTGGGTGAAGACCCAGGAGACCCAGATTAAAATCCTCTTTCAGCCATTACACAGAGGGATGAAGTACCCAAAACTTTATTTTTCTAGTTGGGATGGGGGAGTGGGAAAAGAGATCCTCCCACATCCCCTTCTATCTTATCTAATAAAGTTGCAGTTTCATCTACCATTTTAAACCTTTTATCCCTCAGAAACCATCTAAGTTGTGTGGGAACTTGTTTGTAAAACTGTTCTAAACCTTTTAGTTGCTTCAATTCTTCAAATGTCTGTACTTTACTTCCCTCAACTAATCTGTTTAAGACTTTGTCCAAATGACAACCTAGCTGTGCGTATGTTTTGCCCTGCTTTCTTTTAATTTCTTTGAAAGCTTTTCTACTGTATTCAGCCATTAGCCCAAATCTAACTCTGGCCCTCTCCTTCAAAAGCAAATAATTTGAGGTTTTCTCTGCGCCTTTCACACTTGACCTTGCCCAGACCCACCGCCATACCTCCCTCTCCCCAAGAGCACTGGAATTTGTTTCCCATTCATTGATCACTGGTGGGCTCCGCATAGCTTCAGGCCGCCAACCGATGTCAAGGTCAACAACAAACCAGCTGCAACAATTAACAATTTCCTAAAGTGCTATCAGTGCATAAAATACAAAAAATTCTAACAGTATTATAACTGTATTCCTAGCTGCTCATGTCGGGGGTATTTCCTAACCTTAGCCCAAATCTAACTCTGACCCTCTCCTTAAAAAGCAAATAATTTGAGGTCTCCTCATCCCTCATCTCTGAGTAAACTTCACTCAGTCCTCCACAAATCTGTGGGTGCAAATAAACCATCCTGTCCTGAGCTTGGACCCTAAAATCTCGACAGGTTCATTCAAAACTGAAGAGAAATGCCTCCACGTCATCCCCCTTTTGATAACATGGAAATTTATTTTGTTCCACTGAGGCACTTTCCACAGTTCTCTATGGAAGTGGCAATTCTGCCCTTAACTGAATTTCCTTCATCTTCATATATATGTCTCTTTTTCATTTTCCTCTCAGCTTCCCTCTCTTATTCTTTCCTGCTATGCCATTTTAGCTAATTATTTTTCTCTATCTGACTGAATTTTGGCTAACTGTATTTATTGTTCTTTTTCCACTTCAGTTCTGGCCTTTTCTTTTAAAAAATTTTTCTTTTTAAAACAAACAAACATAAAACTGGGGTACAACACTTCATAATCTTTTCCTCTATTATAGTGCCTCATTCATTATCTGAATCTAGTTGCGGGTTTTATTATTTTATCCCGCACCTTCCACCAAATATGATGGCCCCATCCACTTCCCTTCCTCAGATGCAAGATTTTGCCTTCATTTTTCTTGCCCTTTTCTGACTGAGCTGCCCTAGTGATGTGTTTTCTTCTTTGCCGAAGAACTCTAGCTGTCCCATCCTGTCACAGTATAATATTTTGGGGGTTGGCTCAGCTCAGGAACTTGTTGGAAGGATAAGGAGCCCACTTTAACTGAAACAACTTAAATGGCACTGGAAATATTTTAGAATTCAAAAATAATTTTTTAAATTTAATATAGAGGAGAAAGGTGAGGTGAAATCAGGTGTTGAAAACTTCTGAGGTAAAATCAGCAGATGCACAGATTTTAGTTCTTAGGTTTCAGGCTAATGAGAGTTTCTTAAGCTTTTCACAGTGACCAATTGGCCTTCTTCAGTGGTCAAACAAATTTATTGCACATTGGCTCCAGATAATACAATAAATACTAAAATTAGGACCAACTAGATATTGTTTTATAATAAATATCTGTGACTTAAGGCAGAGATATGATACAGATACATATTCAGAGATATGATACAGGCAACCCCCAGGGAAATGGCAGATGG